TCAATGTGCTGATGATAGATGGATGGATACGTGGATGAATGGATGGATGGATGGCTAGGAATCTCTTATTTTATTTGATGCCTCATTCTTTGTGGGGAAAGCAATCTGCTTTGTGCACCAAAGTTGACAACGATTGCCCCATAAATAAACAAATATCATTAAACTTAAGCAAGTGTCTTGTAGTCTGGTGCTCCTGGTTCATGGTTCCTGGTGCCCCTGCTAAGTACATATAGAATGCCATTCAGGCAATTGCTCGACCAGCAACAGTCAACTGAACAAAACCAAAAGATATGCCAAACTATGGCCAAAGTGGCAGACGAGGATGGCAACGGGGAAAGAGGAGGCAACGATGGTGGGGCAACTTTTCATAAACATTATTAACAATTATTGTTGTTAGCAGAAGTTGTCTGAATGGGGACTGCCTGGCTGCCTGGCTGCCTGAATGGGCGGATTCTGGTTGGATACTGGGCTTCCAGGATGCTCTCTTGTCGCGTGCAGCTAACAAAGTCTCGCTACCGCTCCTTCTGCCTCCTGGCAAAAGTTATAAGCACGGCCAAAAGTTGATAAGAATGAGCCATAGACGTCGTAAGGCAGCCACTTTTGCCCTGAAATAGAGGGGAGTGGCTGAGGCAGTGCCAGTGGCAGCGAGTTCTTAACACGGCCAAGCTTTGTGCATTTTTTATAAACTAACGCCCTAAAACGTGAAAGAAAAGGAGCAGAGAGAAAGAAAGCGAGTGGGAGAGAGCACAGTAACAATAACGATGGGGTCTGGAGGACCGTGTGCCATGTCTGGAGTTAGTTAAAGGCTTCCAGCGATGAGTGCGTGAGTGAATGAGTTAGAGTGAGGGAGTGAAGGGAGTGAAGGGAGCAGTGAAAGAGCAGAATGGGTGGGTTTCCCAGAAAACTTTACATTAAAATAAGTAACTTAATGGAATCAAAGACTTTTATCAGTTTCCGCAGTCTGGAGATTTCAATTAAATATTTATTATATATTACAAATATTGGGAAATATTGGCATTCAATATTTTTAGAATATTATTTTCATCCCAAATTGTATGGAGAAACAAGTTCCACCCTCTAAGCAAATTCATTTTCGGTCGCGATCCTTAAAGACATTTCCGGGCCAATTTCAATGTCCTCCACTTGGACTCGATTTGTGACTTTCCCATCAGTTTGAGGCTGTCATCACTAGTTGGAGACTCTCCTGCAGGTTGCTTTATGCCTCATCTTGAATATTGTTGTTGTTGCTGCAACTGTTTTTCCGTTTCTTTTTTTCCCCCCGACGCTAAGCAGACAGTTATTGTTGTTGTCGCTACTTGCACATACTTCAAATAGTCTTACAGAAGTTGCACTATCTGCTGATGTTGCTGCTTCGTTTGCCTCTTTTGGGAAAGTTCATAAAGTTGCGACGAAAAACGCCCACAGGTTGGCCGCGTTCAACGTTGCTCATACGCCATGTTGCATGCTTCAGAGTGGTGAGGAATAGGGG